AACTTCAAAGACAGGAAACTAGTCCTTCAACAGAAACCAAGACAAACCAATGAACCCTGCCTTTTGTCACACAATACCAACCATCAGTGCCAAACCTAAAGCAAATTCTCATGAAAAACTGGCATTAAATAGAACAACAACCATTACTGAGCGAAATCTACAAAAAACCGCCCCTTGCATCTTATAAAAGAGGGCAGTCGCTCAAAGACATACTCGTGACAGCCAAACTATAAAAAGGCTATTTAAAATGCGTGCTGGGAGTCGTGTAGGCCTGTCAACCCCATTTTGCACTGAGGGTTACAGGTGGTTAGAACAGATTAATGATAACTTGTTTTCTAAGTAGGACATTCCCAGATACTTTTTCTTGGTCTATTTTGCATAAAGGGTTTCCAGTGGGTTACAAGGGGTTACAGTGGGTTATGAGGGGTTACAGGGGATTACAAAGGATTAGAGAAAACTTGTTCTCTACCTAGAACGTTCCCAGATACTCCTCTTGGTGTACTTTGCATAAAAAGGTTACAAGGAGTAACAAGGCGTTACAGGGGGTGACAAGGGGTGACAGAGGGTTACAAAAGGTTACAGGGGGTTTCAAGGGGTTCCAAGGGGTTCCAAGGGGGCTTTCAAACGGGGACAGGGGATTACAAGGGATGACGGGAGATTACAAGGGGTTACAGTAGGATACAGGGGGTGCCAGGGGGTTACGAGGGGTTATAGGAGGTGACAAAGGGTTACAAGGGAGTTACAAAAGGTTACAGTTGGTTACAACGGGTTAAAAGGGGATACAAGGGGTTACAGGGGGTTAGAAGGGATCACGGATAATTTGTTTTCTAAGTAGGACATTCCCGGAGACTTTTTCTTGGTCTATTGCGTAACAAGGTTACAAGGGGTTACAGGGGGTGACAAGGGCTAACAAGGGTTTAGAAAAGATTACAGCAGGTTACAAGGCGTTGCAAGGGGTTATAAGGGGTTACAGGGTGTGACAGCGGGTTACGACGCGTTACAGGGGATTACAATGGATTACAGAACGTGTTCTCTAACTAGACCGTCCCCAAATTCTTTTTCTTGGTCTATTTTGCATAAAAGGGTTACAAGGGGGTTACAAGGGGTTCCAAGGGGTTACGGGGTGTTTCACCGGGTGACAGGGGATTACAAGGGGTTACAGTGGGTTACAAGGGGTACCAAGGGATTACGAGGGGTTACAGGTGGTTACAAGGGATGACAGGGTGTTACAAGGATTTACAGGGGGTTACAAGCAGTTATATGGTGTTACAGCGAGTTACGAGGGGTTACAGGGGATTACAAAGGATTACAGAAAACTTGTTCTCAAACTAGAACGTGCCCAGATGTCAGCCCTTGTCACCCACTGTAACCCCTTGTAACCTTTTTATGCAAAATAGACTAAGAAAAAGTATCTGGGGACGTTCTAGTTAGAGAACAAGTTTTCTGTAATCCTTTCGAATCCCGTGTAACCCCTTATAACCGACTGTAACACCATATAACTTCTTGTAACCCCCTGTAAAACCCTGTAACCCCCTGTAAACCCCTGTAACGCCCTGTCACCGCTTATAATCCCCTGTATCCTCCTGGAACCCCTTTATGCAAAATAGACCAAAAAAAGTGTCTGAGAATGTTCTCCTCAGAAAACAAGTTATCTGTAATATCCCTTCTAACCCTCTGTAACCCCTTGTATCCTCTTTTAACACGTAACCTCTTGTAACCTGCTGTAACCAAATGTAACCTTTTTTAACCCCTCGTCACCCTTTGTCACCCCCCGTCACCTATTCACCCCCCGTAACCCCTTAGAACCTCTTGTAACCCTTCTATGAAAAATAGACCCAGAAAAAGTATCTGGGGACATTCTAGTTACAGAACAAGTTTTCTGTAATCCTTTGTAATCCCCTGTAACCGCTCGTAACCCCTGTAATCCCTGCATGTAACCCGTTGTAGCGCCCTGTCACCACTTATAATGCCCTGTAACTCCTTGTAATCCCCGGTCACCCCTTCAAATACCCCGTAAACCCTTGGAACCCCTTGTAACCCTTTTATGAAAAATAGACCAAGAAAAAGTATCTGGGGACGTTCTAGTTGGAGAACACGTTTTGTGTAATCCTTTGTAATCCCCTGTAACGCCTCATAACCCGCTGTCACACTATGTTACCCCTTGTAACCCCCTGTTAGCCCCGGTAACCCTTGTAACCCTCTGTAACCTTTTGTAGCCCCCTGTCAGCCCTTGTCACCCACTGTAACCTTGTTATGCAAATAGACCAAGAAAAAGTATCTGGGGACGTTCTAGTTAGAGAACAAGTTTTCTGTAATCCTTTGTTATTGCCTGTAACCGCTCGTAACCCGCTGTAACACCATGTAACCCCCTGTCATCCCCTGTAGAAGTGCATCGTCAAGTGATGGCGGCGACATCAGCAACGGGAGGTGCCACATCGCCTGGATTGTCAGCGAGCCTGGGTTTTATTCCCAGCAAGAAACAGTTCAAATGGAATGGCAGTCTGGCAAGCCTAAAAGAATTTTGGATTTCTGAACTGGAAGATGGAAATGCGCATAGTTTGGTGAATATCAACTCCAATGCTAACGCAGGTGTTGAAGTTTAAATCTGCAACGGTTAATTTTTATACCTGCACCAAAACCTTGCAAATACAAGGTGCATCGAAGGATTATCATGTCGAAAAGCTACTGCATATCATTGAAAAACTAAATACAACTATTGAAGATTGAAACGCTGAAAATGTTTTATCGACGCCCAACGCTTTACATTCGGAAACAGAAACAGCTACAATGGCGGGTCCCAATTCAGCACATGACGATCGCTATGAAGAATTCAAATCGTTTATGAAAAGGCAACTTGAGTTTAATAACAAACTTGAGAGCCTCATCACAACAAACTCCATTGGGATCAACGAGCACGTCATTGAGCTTAAAGATCTAGAACAAAAACGCAAAAATCAATCGAGAGAGGTTAATCTGGCATGTGACAGCAGCATACATGCGATGAAGATTGAACTTGGCGACGAGATACAAAAACTTGTTAAGCAAATCTAAAATCTGAACACTAAGTTACTAGCCGAACTAAAAGCTCTAAAAACCAGAACCAAGTCGACCGAAGACTCAGTAAACCACATTGTACAACAACTGGGTGAGATAAAAAACCAAGTTTGCATTTCTGAGGAATCATTGATTTATCATATGCATGACGCAAGTCAACAAGATTCTCAATTACAAACAGAATCTAATGAGCGCAGGTTCGCCAAAGTTACAGCAAACAAAGTTGACTTGCAGACTCTCCAAAGGACTGCAACTGAAGAAATCATAGCAGAGGCAAGGGATCAGACTTTCATTGTGAATACGCACAACAGATTTGCAGTACTTGACCCTCAGTTTCCAGAGAGACAAACACAGGTGTTTAATGAACAATCTACACAACCTGTATCAACAGCTACAGCAGCGATGAACATTTAAACAGTTCTGATGTTCAACAGGGAAGCCTTTATAACCATGAAGCGTGGAAGGAGACTAAAAAGAACGAGAGGTGCAAAATGGCCCCATACTCATGATCGGCGACTCCATATTAACCCTTTCACCACCGGTGGCCTCTTTAGAGGCCACTGACAAAAAGGTACTGCAACACTCGTGGCCCCTTTAGCGGCCAAATAAATTTACATACATTACCGCTCTGTAACCAGGCTTTTTTTAGCAATTGGGGGGCCCAGATATTGCCATTTTCCTAGGGAGGGTTTGAGTAATGCAATCGTGTTTTTATCACCACGCGGTTTCATACAAAGTTTTCGAGATATTTTGTTTTGAAAGTTCAACGAGATAAAAATTCGAACTTCGCCATTTTTAAATGTCTTCGGGTGACGAGAGCGACAATTCTGGATCAGATTTATCATCTTCAAGCGAATATTCTTTCCAAGATGACGATGTCCTTGAAGAGCTGTTCGATAGCGATGAAGAGGAAGAGGATTTCGCTGGTTTTAATTTCGATTTGCCCGAAAACATGAAGTGGGAGAACCAGCGCTTCGATGTAGACATGCAACCGTTCACGTTAACACCTGGTCCGACAATAAACTTACCTGATACTGGTAAGGCTTTTGACTTTTTCTCGTTGTTTTTCACCGAGGAAATCATCGGTAAAATTGTGGAATTTACAAACAAGAATGCTCAGAAGAAAGAAGTACCAAATTGGCAACCTGTCACATCCGAAGAGTTAAAGGCATTTATTGCAATGTTGATCATTTCGAATGACATTATTGTTGTCCCACGCGGCGAACGCTACTTCCTGTCATCTGCAGAAGCAAGGCTATTTCACATTCCAGGAGTGAAAAACATTTTGCGATCTCGAAAACGTTTCTTCCAGTTAAAATCGTACATATTCTTCTGCGACCCAGACCACGAACAAACAGAAGAAGAAAAGCAAGACCCCTTATATAAAGTGAGAGGTATTTATCATGATATTGTTCAGAAATTCAAGGAACTTTTAACTGCTCCCGTGAAATCTCCATTGATGAAGCTATGGTTCCTTTCAAAGGAGGTTAGCCATAAAGGTGAGAATGCCAGATAAGCCAATCAAATTTGGAGTGAAATTCTTTCAACTCTGTGATTCCAAGACTGGCTATTGCAAGAATTTCTCTATCTATGCTGGGAAGGACGACAGAGAGGCTGGTAACATCGGAAAGACCGGTAAGATTGTCATGGATTTGGTTGCAGATTTGCACAATACAAACCATCACCTTTATGTTGACAATTTTACACCAGCCCAATTCTTTTCCTTTTGTTGAGGACAAGGGGAATTCTTGCTGCTGGGACAGCAAGACCTCGCAAGGGCTACCCGCCTGAACAATTGAAAAGAGCTGTTCTCAGGAAACGAGGAGAAGTGGCATGGCTTACTGCAAAGGAACAAGGAATGACAGCTTTGAGGTGGAAAGACAAAAAAGATGTCTATTTTCTAACTACAATACATTCCCCACCAGTGGTACCAGATTGGGTCGAAGATGACAACTCTGGGGCTGAATCAGAAGAAGTCAGAAATGAAAGTGACGTGGTGTGTAGAAGGGTCAAGCAATGAGGACGCTGGGTTACCAAGAAGATTTACAGGCCAGGAATTGTCAAGTCCTACAATAACTTTATGGGAGGAGTCGATCTCTCAGACCAAATGACAGCAGTCAATAAGTCAAAGAAACAGAAGAGGTGGTACCTTCGCATTTTCCTGAAGATGGTCCTTCTAAGCATTTACAATGCTTACATTCTTGAGGGGTTCAAGCGCCCACAAACTCCAAGAGGAAGAAGGAAAAGGGATCTATTGTCTTTCAAGGAAGACCTTTGTGTGCAGTTGGTTGGCAACTTCCCACAGCAACACAAATCAACTGCCTCTAACAAAAGAAAGAGGAGTGCAGACACACCAGTGCCTGAACGTCTCAGTAATGTTGGAATCCATTTTCCTTCAAAGGGAGGGCAAGAATCATCGTTGTGTGGTCTGTGAAAGAAAGCACTTCTCTTCAAAGAAAGCAAATCCTGACAACCCTTCTCCAAGACACAAGACAACTTTCAAGTGCAGCCAGTGCAATGTTTACCTGTGCATTGGAGAAGGAGGATCAAATTGCTTCTATGACTACCATACTAAAGAAAACTTTGCTAGCTAGGGACAATAAATGAGAGGCACTACATCAGTAACTCAATAGAAGAACAGGTTTTATTTCAGAATTCATTTGTTACAGAGACAAAAACTATTTCTAAGTGCTAGTAAAAACTCACAAATCAATGCGTAAATTTAAAGTTTTTTTACTCAAAAGATGTTGCGCAATGACAACATGACTTTTTTGCAAATGAAGTCGGGTGAGTTTTAGTGTAAAAATATGACTTTTGTTGTAAGATAAATTGCTTTTTTCATCTAAGGTTGTCCTATGAAAAGCATTTTTTCATTTTAGAATATTGTTGGACAAATTTTGGTGGGTTTGTACACATTTCAAGAAGGACCATATGTTTTTTTTTTCAAAATCGTAGGTTATCTCAACTTTGAGAGGTTCATGTTCAGTCAGTTTTCATCCTTTAAAAATGTAAATAGAATTACCTGAAAGAGAATTTTATAACAAATAAAATCATATGGGGTTCTTTTTTGCAAAAATGCTTCCTTCTCCATGAAAATTGCAATTAAAGTAATGTACGTAATTTCGGCAAACAGTACCAAAAACATCTGGTGTTCAGGGCTGTTTTCTGCAAAGAACGACTGGTGGTGAAAGGGTCAAGAGGAATCCAACAAAGAAAATTTTGTCCACAACGATTTGTCAACAAGCAATATGTACCAGGAGAAACACGAGAAATGAAACAGCATATTGAAGCAATGGTGGATATGAATGTGTTCGATCATATAATTGTTCATTCCGGAACAAACGATGTTGATAAACTCAGAGTAAACGACAAAGCTATGAACATGGAAAGCTGCTTAATTACGCTAAAGTGACGATGGCCGAATGCACAAATCGCTTTGGCTGGTCTCACATATGCTCCCAAGGGAGACAACACAAAAATTGACGATATTAATTACTGCTACGAGGCAATCTGCTCGGAGCATAACATCACCTACATTAATAACCAAAGGGTGACGGCTGACACTTTTGGAAACAAAGATCCTGAAGTATTCTTTGACGATTTGCATCTCAACAACAAAATAGGGACCAAGAGACTGGTCGCGAACATTAAATCACACATAGGATTAAGAAGAGAGGGCAACAGGGAACAAGCTAACAGAAGGTAGTATAACTCGTCAAGGTTACAAAATAGAAGATGGAATTCGAAGCAGTACAATCGGGAGTTCCCTCCTTTACAAGCACCAAACGCCCTTGCTGACTACTTTAAAAAGCACCATCCAAGATAACTGCTTCTTAAATAGTGTTCAGTCGCTTTCCGGAAGGTCTACGTCTGCGAATTGGATGCTGGAATATAAATAAGCATGATATATTTGGGATAGTAGAAACTCATGCTGACAGCAACTCGGACTTACAAATTCATGATTTTAGGCACTATGTTAAACAGAGAGAGAACAGCAAGGGAAAACGTAACTCAGGCGGTATTACCGTATACATAAGGAAAACGATTATCAGGGGAACCTCATTCGTAATTTCACGCAATAAGAATATACTATGGATTAAATTAGATAAATCTTTTTTCGATCTGGACAAGGATCTCTATTTAGGCACTGTTTACGTAAGTCCAAACACTTCACAAGTAATCGACCAAGAACTTTTAGACGATATTGAAAGCGAAATTGTAAATTTTACACTCAAAGGTGATGTAATTTTACAAGGTGACTCTAACGCACGCACTGGCAGCATGCAAGAATTTGCGGTCCATGATGACGATAATCAATTCCTTGAAATCCCAGAAGACTATGAAATAGATACAGAAAATTATCGCTATTCACAGGACAAAAATACAACTAACAGCAGAGGGAGGATTCTGATTGATCTTTGCACGGCTCTGAGTCTTAGGATCCTGAATGGCAGCGTGGTAGGTGATCTTACAGGGAAAAAAACATGCTTCAAATACAATAGGAGCAGTGTGGGAGATTATGTTATCATTTCCAGTAGAATTCTCAGATATGTTAATTACTTTATTGTCAACGATCTGGAACCCCACCCATCGGACCATTGTTCCCTTTCATTCGCATTAATGCTAAAACACAAAAAAAGGTGCTCCGGAAAACGATCAGACGAGATCACGTTAAGCGAATTTAAGAAATTAGTCTGGGATGATAATACGAAATACGAATTAAGCCGACTCTTAGAAAGTACAGAAACAAAAAACAGGCTGAACACAGCACTGAATAACAATAACATGGACACAATGACTGATCTATTCACACAAAATTTAATTGACATATGCAAACAAGCAGGCTTGAGATTCAATAACACCACGAGGAAGCATAGTGAAAAACCATGGTTCGACGAGCAATGCAACATAGAAAAAGAGAATCTTAAATCATGAGGTAGGCATATCTGACGAAACCCGAACATGGAGGAATTGAGATCAAGTCCACACAAGAAAAAAAGGCTTTCAAACACCTGTGAAGAAAAAAGAAACGCCAACATTATAATCGGATAATTAAATGCATTGATCTCAGTAACGCTAAAACTGCGTGGAGACAACTTAGGAAATTATTCAACCTGGGCAAATCCAAAAACATGCAAAAAAACACATTTGAGGACTTAGACAAGTTTTACAGTTACTTTAAAAAGTTAAACACACGAAAACAGGAAAACGAAGAGTACATACTAACAAGATCAGAGGCCTTGGGGCCCCTAGATTATGAAATATCTGAACAGGAAACGGTAACTGCTATCGACCTCTTAAAAACTGAAAAGGCCCCGGGAGTAGATAACATTTTATGCGAGCTGCTCAAACATGGCAAAGAGGCTTTAAAAGGGCCTCTCACAGGTACCCTACCCTGTGGAGTCATGGCCTAATTATACCAACCTTCAAAAAAGATGATCCGTCCAACCCAAAGAATTATAGAGGAATTACTCTCTTATCAGCCATGGGAAAGATTTTTACCTCAATAATGAATAGCAGGCTTTGTGGCTATCTAATTAAAAAGGGCATAATTACTGCAGAACAATGTGGCTTCCGAAAAAAACATGGTACACAGGACAGTATCTTCTTTCTAAAAGCCCTAATAGACAAATATGTTAAATCTAAACCCAAGAAATCAAATAACCTTTTAGTCACCTGCTTTGTTGACTTAAGTAAAGCATTCGATAGTATCCCCAGAGGGAAATTGTTTCAAAAATTGAAGCTAGTGGGAGTAACGGGGCACTTCCTTGAGATTTTACATTCAATGTACTCCAATGATAAATCATCTGTGAAAATAGAAAATATGCTAACACCTGCCTTTCGATGCCATACTGGTGTAAAACAAGGTTGCATGCTCTCACCAACCCTTTTTAACCTTTCAGAGGAACTGAAGGCCAAGAACCTAAATGACGTAGAACTAAACGAGTTACCATTAAGTTGTATGCTCTGCGCGGATGACTTGGTTATATTCTCCAAATCAAAAAACGGACTGCAGGATTATTTGGATTCCCTCTGTGAATACTGCAAAGAAAACGACTCGTCGGTTAACCTTAATAAAACCAAGGTGTTAATTTTTAATAACTGCAAGGGAACCATGAATAAGCACGTATTATACTATAGAGGCAATAAACTTGACTATGTTAGCAATTACAAATATCTTGGCCTACAATTTAGTACTTATGGGACCTTCACGTACGCTAAACAGGAAATAAAGAAGGTTGCCCTTAAAGCTTTGTACAAACTCACGAAGGAAATGGGCGACCATTTCAGATACGATGTACAGCTCACAATGAAAATTTTTGACACAGTTATTTCCCCAATACTCACCTACGGAAGCGAGGTATGCGGGGTCTATCACAATGGAAAGCTACAATCGGCGACAAAATTGTTGAGACACTTTCCTAAAAAGAGGTGTTTTGAGCTACCCTGAGAAAGGGTCCCCCCACCCCTACCCCCTTGACAATGTTGGGTCGTCTCTGAGTGCCCACAAACCTTAAGGCCAGCGGTACAACACTGAATAGGGGGGGACCATTGAAAGGTATTTCACACATTTTTAAAAAAGAACAAATAAAACCATGCTCATGAGTTGTCTTTTTTGCGGAGGTGTCTCAACTAATTTTGTCGCCGATTGTCTGAGACCGGGAAAAGGCTCTACACCCCCTATTATAGCGGGATAAATCGGGAAAGTTGATGGATACTACGGTATCGGTGTGAGGTTTTTAACAGGTAGGGTATATATCCCGCTTGTGAAAAGTTGTCTTCCGGAACAAGTAAAATCACTTTCTTTAGGGGAGGGGCGTGACATTTGATGACGACGTCACGTGTGAGGAGGTTGTTTTCCTCAGGACTCATCGAGTCACGTTTCTAGCTTGTATGGTGTCACTGAGTTATTACGACATGAATCTCATAAGGGATTACAAATCTGACTCATCTTCTTCAGAGGGTACCGACAATGCTGGTCGAGCTGATTTGGACTATTCAAGTAAAGCAGCTAATCCCAACAATGAAATCGATGTTCGAAGTGTGTGGAAAGTTTATCTGATTACTTATAGCCAGGCCGACGTTGTGCGCTTTCCAACACGACATTCATTTGTAGAGGCCGTTTTGTATTCGTTTCATGATACACCAGCGAAAATCATGCACTGGTGCTGCTGCTTGGAAGAACATCCAAAGTCCGGCGGAAGTCATTTTCACATGGCCCTAAAACTCGACAAAAATCAGCGATGGCTACCAAGCAAAAGGTTTCTTTACGAACGCTGCGGCATATCCGTTCACTTTTCAGCCATTCACAGAAATTATTTTAGTGCCTGGAAATATGTGACCAAGCAAGACAAGGAGTTTGTTCAAAGTCCTGGACATCCGGATCTCAGTGATGGGCCCCCTAAAACTACGAGGGCATCATTCGCCAATAAACCACATTCAACCGGAAGTCATGGTGCGGAACCGGTTCCTGATGACTCCTCGGATTGCAATGAAGAAAGCAGCGAAGATCACGGGCAGAAAAAAAACACAAAAACTAATCGTAAAAAGCGAATGTCTTCCTATGAACTTGGCGAAATTGTAGTAGCCAAAA